CCCCCCCCCCCCCCCCCCCCACCCTGGTGGCTGTGGCACTGCGAGGTACCTTGTGGTGCCGCAAGAACATCATAGATAGGTTGCGCGAGGTGGGATGGGCGGGAGGGAGCTGCTCCGGCAAGAAGCGGGGTGTGTGCGAAGCGCCGGCGCAGGCCTGTGCCGGTGTCATGTCCGCCTGTGTCTGCACCGTCGTCGCTGCCCAGCTGCCCAGGGCCTCAGAGATTCGAAGGCCGTTGACTTCGGCAAAAAAGTGTCCTGGGAGGTTCGGCGACAACCCGACGGCGTTGCGGAGACCTGAGAGGAATAATTTGCGGCGACGGCTTGCCGCTAGCAGCAGCTCGGAGCGCTCTCTGAGGCGCACCGTCGTCATGTTCTGGGCTGGTTTCTCGATGGTGGGTGTCCTAGCAGTGTAGGCGTAGCTGTGAGCTGGTGGGTTTTGGGCAGAGCATTTGCGCTGCACCGTGCGCTTAGATCTTGAACCCGAAAGCCGGCTTCTTTCCGCCGGCTGGGGCCCTTTGTGCCCTATACGTGGAGAAGGCGCCAGCCTACAGCATCCTACAGCGTAGAACGGCCTTTGAATTGTCTGGGGTGTTGTTGTTGGCTCAGGCCCTCACAAACGGGGCACTGCCTGGTTTTGAATATGCTCTGTTTCCGTGCTCTACCGGTGTCGCACTTCTGTCCGGACCTGAGAGGTTGTAGGCCTCCCAGGGTCCCAGAGGCTTGTCTCGCCGGAGCTTTCGAGGCTTTTTCTTACACGGACGACCACCTTCCTGATCTCGCGCCCAATCTGGGCACTGCGTGCGTCCAGGTGCCGCCTGCAGGCTGCACACTCCGTCTCAACAAAAGAGCTGGTCGCTGAGGCGTAGGCGTAGCCAAGCCCAGGAGCACAAAACTGTGCCGGGACCTTGGCGGAAAATCGGAAGGTGCCCTTGATGTCTGCAGCTCTGGAGATTGCGAAGGTTTGCCGAAGCGTGATGCTCGATGCCCCTTGATGCGCCGAAGGCGTTTCTGAAGGTTTCTAAGTGGTGTCCGCGGTGCCCGGGTGCTGCGAACCCCATTAATCTTATGAATCCAGATTTAGTAGACAAGCAAGCCGATAGCAAAGCTATCATTTTCTGTCGATGCTGCAGGCTTTTCTCAGATCACGGCAGCAGTCAGCCGTGGAACACTGCTGGTGCTAGCTGGTTCTGCCGTCCTGCCGCTGTTGTAGTCGTATGAGTCTCTGTCCATTCAGCAAGAGGCACGAGACAACATATTTGCATCATTTGCCACGACTTGTGGCTGCACGTCTGTAGAGGCGAAGAAAACTTCATCGCGCATCTGACTTCGGAAGTCTGTTGAAGACTTGCGGTCGAAGCAGTTGAGTCCAACGAAAGCCATGACTGATGCTACCTTCCAGATCGCAGACTTTTTCATACTTCAGCTTCAGCTGCCTTCGCAGAAGCGCTCAAACGCTTCCGTGCCTTGTGCGTTGGCTCGAGTCCCGGGGATTTTTGGCCGGGCTTCGGAGATGAAGGCCTGGGCTTGCCGCGCCGGGGCAGGGGCAGAGGACTGCGCACACATGTTCCGCCCTTGATAGGGTCGGCGGAAGCCATGATCCCCGCCCGCAGTGCCGGACCTCAGGGCAAGGTTCAGCTAAGCGGGTCAGACCCAGAGGTCTGCTACTGTAGCTTCGTGATTTGTGAAAGCATGTTGAGCCACGCCATGCATGCAGAATAGGAAGCTGCCTGTAGCCCTGGAGCGGAGTCCAAGGCTCACTGCGGCACGGGGACGGTGCAGACTTGAAGAATGGGCTCAGGTCCGAACCTGCTTTCATTTCAGCAATCTTCAGTGGCTTCTTTGTCCTCCGTTTCTTGGGCTAAAGCCTGACTCGTCGATGTCCATGTTTTCTTTTTGCGGCCGGAAGCAGCGATGCTTTGTGTAGCCCTCCTTCCCTGTGGCCAGTCGCGTCAGAGTTACTTCTCGTGCCGTCAGTCGTCTGTACCATGTCTCTCTGTCTCGACGCACGTGTGCGAATGCATGTTTTATTCAGTTACTCAAATGGCGCGAAAGCAGTTGTGGTAATAGTTAATAGTACCTGCAGCCTACAGCGTTGGCATGCCAGAGGTTTTGCTCCATTTTCTGTCACTCACTGAATGCATGGAAGCCACCGTGTACAACGTGTCAGAGCACTGCAGTCTGACGGGATGTCCTCTGTAGACACGCTATGACATTGATGTGGAGGCGCCAGTTACTGATGCGGGTCCCTGCCAGGAAGACTGCGGTTGGGCTTGACTTGGGGCAGGATCCTTAAAGCCAGCGACAGGCGCTAGGTCTCGCACAAGGGTGTCCAGGGTCATCAGACTGAAGGCGGCGGTTGCTCGTGGTCCTCAAGAGCACGCAGCAGCCCCAGCTTCGGATGCGGCTGCACGGACAGATATCCATGATGTCGCCGATATCGTCCGTCAGGTCCAAGCCCTCGGAGAAGGCCCAGGCAGGCTGAGTTTTTGCTCTTTGAAGCTGTGTTCTTCGATTCTTCCCTTCGGATCCCTTCGGTACACCAGGCCATCCGGGTCGTGGACCATGGAGAGCAGCAGAAGGAGGCAAGGAGTCGTTGGCCTTGTGTGACTCGCGCATGAACTGACACATGAGTGCCAGGCGCTTCGACGACTCTACGATGCCCAGGTGCTCTTGCAGTCCTACGAGGCCGTGGGGAGCAACACAACTTGCGGACCTGCTGGCTGCTGTTCTGCTGCTCGCCTTGGCCTGCCGCGAGGATCAGTTGCATGCCAAAGATGAGCAGCTCTACAAGATCCAGGTCTGCGTAAAGAAGGCGCGTCGATCCGTCCCTGTGCCCGCGGACGAGGGGGAGAGAGGCAGGGAAACATGCAAACTACGCAAACGGCGGAGCAGGCATGCGGGCCGCCTTAACCCGGAACATGACGTGGAACGGGCGGTTCAATGCATCGCATGCCCAGGCTGGAGGGAAGTTGCGCAGGACCGGGCGAAATGGGCGCGGTTAAGCGACGCTTTTGTTGAGAGGCTCGATGGGCGACTGGCAAGCAAATCAGCATCCGTGACAACCTTGCACACACCTCACGTCACAAAACCCGGGATGAGTGAAGGGACTCCACCCTGATTGCTCTCTCACCACCTTTTGGGGGGGGGGGGGGGGG